AGAAAAGAACAATTCGATGAGAACAAAAGAATCTAATTGTAACAATAAGACCTATGAATAGCTGAAAGGCAGTTTTTAAACTAACTCAATTTACTTTAGTCATGATTTCATGAAGATTTAATATTATTAATGGACACCTAACTTGTTTAATGTTTTTTTTAAATCATGAATAGCTTTATGGACTATTCAATATTACTTTAACTGTGTCATAAATTATGTTTGTCCGCTCGCAAAATTTTCTCAAAAATTGGTTTCGTTTCACATATTGTCATAATTGTTTTTATTTTTTTATATTTTTGTATTTTTATTTTTCACTGTGGTAATAATATTGAAAAGATTAAATAACTGTTTATTTTAGTTTAATAATTTATCTTTTTATATATTATATTTTTAATAACTATTTTTTTTAAATTGATTTTAAACAACTAAATTTAAAAGTATTTATTAGTATTGTTGTAGTCTTGACCTATTTTAGTTAAGACGAACCATTTATATTAAGGGACGGATCTATTAGAGAAGACAGTATTCATAGTCGCGGCCAACATCTGACCTTGTTCCGTCTAGACAGCTCGCGACAGACAATCTAGATAATCCCTTACTTAGACTATGGATTAGGGACGTACATCAGGACAACAGTTGATTAAAGTCAAGGAATAGAGGTACACAATACGTGACGCTTTGTGTAATTCTGTTAAATTAAATCCGATTTATGTTAATATTTTTAGCTATTATAATTTCATAGTTCTTTTTTTCATGTCTTTCTAAAGTATACAGATGAGTCTTAATTTATCAAAAATCTTTAAATCACAGTACCAAAAGTAGAACAAACCTTCTATTTCTGTTCAAAATTAAATTACTGGTACTTGAAAAATAATTGATGTAAGAAAATTTACGTCTTTACGGAAAAAAAAATTGCTATACGCTTAAATTTTTACAAATTTAGTTTCTTCCAAAGTATGTTTGAAATTTAATTTTGTCTTCGTCTGAAGTTTAAAAGATCGTAGACATAAGCGAAGATGCGAAAAGCCATTTTAAAATAAGCGAGCGACTTGTCTGCTTCACTTGTGATATATCGCAGGCTTCACGTTTAATAGAAAGGGACGGAAGATTAATCATGATAAGCCGTCCCTGTCGCACTGAGAGTGATGTTCGCTTGAAATGTGAGAATTGTTTTTCGAATCAAGTTGAAATTTGAGAAAAGTCAGGGAGCCCCAAAATTAAAATGACTCTACTGTACAAGTAAATATTAAAAAAATATATATACGTATTAATATACGTTCAAAAAATAAGAAACTCTGTACATTTCGGCTCGGTTTGTTTTAAAATCAATGGCTTTTTAGGCGAATAAAGTTAAGAAAATGATCTAGGGTGTAGAGGCTACAAGTAATACAGACAGATATACTGTTTGGATGTTATAGTATATATACTTATAGTGTATTTTCTTTAAAAAAAAGTTATAAACAAACATTTAACAAAGTAATAAATTCGCTGCAGAGGCGGCCGCCTTGTTATTGGATTTCCGCTCCAAGTATTGCTTGGACCTAATTTTGTTGTTGTTGCAGTTTCGTTTATGTTTCATATCAAAAACTGTTCAAATATATAAAATGCTTGATTTATTAAATATAGTTTCCATCCTTTATGTTATATTTAATTTGTTAATCTGTGATTTTACACTGAAACTGATTATTTAATAAGATAGCAAACTTAAAGTGTAGGAAATAACTTTCTACATCTAATTATGCTGAATCAAAGTTCAAGAACAACTAATTTGCTGACCGAATATCGTTTGAAATAGAGATAAATTGCTACGTTCAGCTAATAGGTGAGTTTGAGTACAAATGAAATGCTGCAAAAATTGACGAATTATTTGCAGTTTTTTTTTTAATTAATTTGTCTTTTCATGATAACACTGTTGGTTAAAAATTGGTTAGTTTATAAAAGGAAATTATATATTTTTTATATAAGTATCTTACTGTTTCTTATCTGTATATATTGTGACCTGATTTCGTATATAAGAGAGTACAGTTTAAAGCTCAATTTTATATTCGTTGTTAGAAACGTTGTTTCGTTTATGGCAGCCATCTTTTTGCACGGACTTAGAACAAAGGATGCTAGGAAAGTGCAATGGTTTGTGAAGTGTCGCGGAATAAAGTAAATGGAGCTTTTTTCGTTTCTTTGTTACGGAGTATATGTAGCGTGGCTTAATTTATTGAGCTTTAAGCTCCCGACAGACACAATATTATGATTTTACATCTTGATTTAGCCAAAATGAAGACTATTCTATATTTTTCGAAACTCGCTTTTGTAAAACTTGATCTAAATTTTGACTATTTTACGCTTTAGTGCTGATTAAAAATATTTAGCAAATAAGATATTTTTAACGATATCTGCTTGATATAACCTTATAACAAAATATGATAGGTGTTTTAAAATTTCACTCACCATTACTACTTTTCTTTAGCTACTAAATACCTTTAAAAATACTTATTAACTGCACTTTTTCCTCATTTTTAATATCCATTTAAAAACCAACAGAAACAATATTTGTTATCGTAAATCAAAACGAGTTCGCAAATCCGTTCATAAATCGTTTTGCATCCACCGCGTCATAGCAGACGCCATGTTTAATCGCGTCCATACATCAACTGTCTGCAGCAATGATTTTTGAAAATCATACTAGTTAATTTTCTGATTCATTCCGTCTTAACACGTCGTTTCATCTCCTCTTCGTAAATACCTTAGAGTCAACATAGCTCTATCAATATATATTATCGTTGATGAGGAAAGCAGATTAGAATTGCACGGTCTAAATATTCTTATCTCGACGCTCATTCTTTTAAGAAACTTGACTCAAAACACAGCTTCATTATATAGGATATTATAAAGGAAAGGTTAACATTTGGTTTATTAAATACAATTTAAGTAAGAGTCATATTTTTTATTTTATAAAGAATTGCAACAGAAAACATCTTCGTCGCTTAACATTTTAAAGAATAATATCTTCTATAATAGAGAGCTTTAAGCTTTATCCGTACTTTGAGCTTAAAATGCGAAAAACAATTCTCGCTTGGCAGCTCAACATCTATCTTACTGCGACAGGGACAGCGTGCTACGATTCGTCTTCCGTCTTTTTCTATTAAACGTAAACCCGGCAATATATCAAAGCGGATATGCGCCATTCGAAAGTGATGGAAGAATATTTCTTTTTAAAACATCTTAATTGGAGTTCATTTAGTTCTTAATTCGTATCTTTGCTTCAAATAATCGACTGAAAGCTTCGTATCAGCGACCATCTTGGCCGAATTTTATCTTACTAATTTTATAAATGCCAATATTTCGGTGGATGGATGGATGTTTGTTACCAGGTATCTCCGGCACGACTTAACGGGATTCGATGAAATTTTGCACAAATGTAGAACATAGCATAGAGTCGTAAGCGAAAGCTAGTACTTCATATATCGATATCGGTTTTGCGTTTTATAATTTAAAGATTAAAAATTGAAACAAAAATCAGATAGAACTAGATTATAATTACACTTGGTTATACTTAAAGTCTATGTAGTAAATTCTGTGATCCGTTTCCCAGTTGGAATGGTGAAGGCAAAACAAATGTGATATCATTAAATAGCTCATAGTAGTTGTGGAACCATGTACTGAATTTGTCATAGTTAACGTAGTTATATTATACAATTAAGGCTAACGCGTGAGTGAAGCAAATTGAATTATTTAGGTAACGTGACGCAGCGCTGAGGACAGCTAACTTGTGACCGACGTGAGCCGACACTAAATTATGTTTATTATCTGTTATAATAAATTCTGTAACCATTACACGCGTGTTTGTGTTACTTATAGTTGGTTTCTGATACCTTTAACAGTGGTAGAGCCCGCTTTAACATCTTCGCACGAATTGGCCCGGCTCGCCCGGTGAAATAACATGACCACACAGAAGACATGCGTGAAGTGGAAGCAATTCCGCGTTTCGTCTGATGAGTGTGCGTCCCGGAGGCCTAATTTAGTACTCTTTCCCTTCCCACTCTTTTTCTTATAAGGAAAGGATGGGAAGTGGAAGTGGACCTTCCGGATGGGAGGATGCATGGAAATGTTTTCTCTCTTTGTATCCTCTCCTCCGTCGATTAAAGTTAGGCAACGCATATGCAATTGCGTATGTCTATGAGCAGCGGTCACTTCGCTATTTCAGCGATTTTAGGTGGCCGCTCGCCTGTTTACCACCTTATGATAAAAAAAACTATTTCTGCGTGTAATATATTGTCATCTCTGTTTTGTTATTGATAATTACAAAGTTGACGATATGTTTTATATAGAGATATTGATTTCAGAAAACAACAGTTAGAGAATTATATTTTTATGTAATCCACAGCTTGATAGAGGTTATGATTTTTAAATTTAAATTTTACTTTCAAATATCAATTTGGAGCCTTTTGTAACTCAATTATAAGAAACAAACCGTTACTTCTTCTAGAACTTTGAAGAACTACTAGAACTTTTTAAATTCGTATATCTATGTAAAGATGCCCAGACACATAACATATTATTAAATAATGTGTTCTATGTATCTTTAAAGAATTTATAACAACCTTAACATAATAACAATGTTAGCATAATGTCTCGAGTGGCGTCGTCGTGTCGACGTGCAAGTTTTAATGGAGTCGTGATCGATCCGAACATTGTCCCTATAAATATTTTAACAGCTCATCAAAAATTAATTTATAAATTGAAACTACGATATCTTTACATCCTATGAGATCACGGGACTCTATAAATAAATTATATATTTAACCCTAAGGACACGACAGTACATAGTGATGAATTAAAAAAAACATTCTTCCCACTTTGCCCCAAAACTTACCTCTTAATTTGGTCAGCCTATGTGTCACCACAATTTAGTTACAATCAAGTTTATGATTCAAGATCACATACAAGATAAACACATGAATATTTTAATTCCTTTATAAGATGTTAAATAAAGCGTTTTATTTCAGATACAACACAAAGTTAACGGCGTTAGCGCTTCCGTCCGTAATCTTCGAGCCCAAGTTCCGAGGGTCTGTGAGGAACCTGGTATACTCAGATCTGCCCGGACAGCCACCGCGGAGACAGGAGCTGCGGCACTCCAGGGATTTAAAGGTAACATAAGAGTAGTACTGTAGCATTCTTGATGACATTATAGTGCTACGGTATTAAAAAATCGTAGCATAATGTTACGGAGTACGTAGCTCAGTGCGTAGCACAACAAAATAAATTTGTATACGGCTAGATGTTAGCTTTATATTCTATTATATAAGTACACAAATCGTTAGAACTTCATAATTGTATAATATATAAAGATTAGTCTCCTGCCATGTTTAGCTTTGTACACGAAGTTCACTACAATATTTACTGATGTGAAATAAAAATAATATCATAAATAAAAATGAAAGCGGAAATCTTTTTCGTTACTGTATTTAACTTTCCCGTCTTCACTCATCACTCAAGCACAACGCGGAAATAATATCTCGCGTTGTGTCCGCAATATAAATTAAATATAAGATGAGATCCCGCGCTGTCCCAGCCGGTTAGATATCGCCCTACTTCTCTATGGGTTTTTTTAAAACCGGTTATTTTTTTACTTGTATACCACTCTGATTGACATACTTGTTTTGTTATATATAACTAGCTGTCACCTGCTAATCCGTCTGCGCGGAATTAAATAAAAACTTAATTAGTAGCCAATGTACTATTCCAGACTATTTTCTACAACGATGCCTGATTTCAGCAAGATACCTTCTAACAAATATCCATCCATCCTTACATCGAAACATTCGCAGTTATAATATTAGTAAGGTGGTAAGATTAAAATCAGTCCCTTGTGACTTTCGTCTAGTTGAATTTCATATTGAAGATTTAATTGAAAAGCGTTGTCTATTTAAATCTTAATTAGGTTATAACAATACAAAACAATTGACTGTCGTGAACGTTATACTCTGCAATACTCAGAGTCATTAGGCGGTCACTACTTGAGCTGGATTTAAGCTTATGTCTAGTACGTCAGTTTTTAAGATAAATAAACTGTTTATGTACTAGTAATTTAAGTAAAAACAATGTTTAATTCGTCGTACTAAAACAAAACTCGTAAAAATAAAGATAATAATTGTTTCATAGTTAAGAACAAACAAGTCGACGTTTGGAGATAGGAGGAGGGAGGTGCATTTACACAACGTATACTTATTTTACCAGCTTTCATTTCTACCATTTGCTTGTTAAACTTTATAAAGTTCCTTAAGAGAGAAATTTTAATGATATTTTGTATATTTCGCATCGAATAGTACTCTTTATTTGTTATCCAGAAGTTTGCGAGTACTTGTTCAAGTTTTGTCTTCAAGCTCTGATTTTGTACAGACGAGTACTTAAATGTTGTGAAGATTATTCTTTAAAAAAAAAGTATTCGTGGAACTATTTTTCAATTGATTTATCAATTTTTCGTCTAAATTTAAAATGATGTGACTAAGTTAAATAGTGGCGCTCTTTTGCAGAGTGTTTTGGGTAACGTCGGCGCATTTATAACGGATTTATTTCCGAGGCTGCGGTCAGATTATACTCTTTGTGGCCAGATTTGAAACGGGCAATTTGTATAATACTAAAATATGGTAAATTTGCAATTCAACTTTGAATTAAAATTTATGATATTTATTATTGAAGTGTTTAGACAATTTAAAATACATTTTCTAAGGTTAAAGACACTTTTGATTATAATTTCCTTTGTTATTAGTATTTGTTATCAAATGTTTTATATTTCAAAAGATAAGTTGTAAAGATAAACTATCCAAATCTTAAACCGCAAAAAGTAAAATCAGCCCATGTTATATGTACCACTATAATTGATTTTCCTTAAACATGCAAATTTATATGATGAAACTTTAGTGGCCTTACGAAGGGTTTTCTTTAGGGAAATTAGTTCTTACAAAGTGAGGTATCGAAAGTAAATTACCAAGTCGCGGGGAATTTTGTTAATGTTCTTTCAAAGTAACTTTGGTGAAAGATCTTAAAAGCTTCTAAAGTCAAAAGTTACAGGCGTTAAAACGCCGCAGTCTTCAAGTTTGGACAAGTATGCAAAGACCTCATTACTCTCCACGTTGATACGCTTATGTGTGTTAGATTTAACAAATCTTACATAAGTAGTATCAAAATTTATGATGACGTATTTAATTCCAAATCTTACCAACATTACAAACGCGAATTTTTAAATGTATGGATGATTGGATATTTGTTAGAAATAAATCCAGATATAAAAGACTGCATGCATCTCGCTGAAATTTGGCATATATGTAGAACATTTAATTTTAATTTTCTTCAGACGGAGTCGCGGGGAACAAAGAACTCGTAAAGACAGTTTGAGCTATTTTTAAGTAGTTGTTAAAAAACTGAATTGTCGCGTGTATAACCTTTATCACTATAAGGTGTAAAAAATATATATTATCACACACCACGTGTGTTGTTGTGAAAAGTTTATTTTGTAATAAAAATAATTGCGAAATATAAATTGTTAAAATTGCTGAGTCTTGCAAAGATAAAACCGTGTAATATATTAGCTGTAATATCGTTAATCATAAACCGCAAAGTTAGCACAAGTTAGTCCACGTTCGCTAACATTTTAACGTCGCTGCTCTGTGCACTGCCGTACCAACTGTTATTTTTATATTTATGTTATAAAGTTGTAAAATAACGTTAACCACAATAATACGTTATGTATATTTATTTACACATGTTATTATGTTATGTATAGTTTACAAGCTGTCGCCCGCGACTCGGTCTGAGCGCGATTTAAAAAAAAAGATCAATAATTGAGATATAAACTTCCCTATCTCACAATAGGAGCAAATAACAGATGCTTACAAAATTTGCAAAGAATTAGTTCAGTAGTTTCGGAGTTTGTCGTGAACATAGATCGTGACACATTTTTTTTTGTGTAAGATTAATTTGGAATTCTAATAGAAAAGTTTTTTGCGATAAAAAGAAAGTTAAAGTATACTTTTATAGATTTTTTATACTTTTTTATATTACTTTTATTTTATATCGTTTTTGCTAATGGTTCTGCTTGAGACGGAACATCACAAACTAAAGAGCCATTAAAAAGCAATAACGCTTGCCTTAAAACATTTACAAACTTTAAAAAAGCTAGAAGTTTCAGATACGCTTCCATTACTTTCTTTTTCAAAAGATAACGCTTTATCTTGCTAAACAAAAAAAATTACTTAAGACAAGAATAAACTTGAAATTTATTTAAATTACGTAAACGTTTTTAATGGTTACTTATTAAGTTTCTAGGTTATAATAAAGAAAGGAAAGAATCCATTATGAACGTCGGCTTTTCAATTGTGCTTGAGTGGATTTCCTCGACGCGATTCTCCTTTTGTCATGGCCCGTCACGTTACAAAGACCGTCGTCGAGCACAAAACTAAATTAACTATAAAGATATTTGAGTCATCTGACGGAAGACTTTAAAAAAAAATTAATACGCTATAAGCCAAACTACTTTGACATTTTCCAATGAATTTTGATGAGAACTTAAATAAATTACTGTAAAGAAGCATTTTTGCTTACTTTATATTACGGCTTAGATTATGGGAAATTATTTTAGATATTAATAAAGTAATTATTTATAATATAACTAGTTGTCACCCCCAACTCCGTTCGCGAGGTATTAAAAGAAAACTTAATGAGTTCTTCCGAATATGTTCTACATCTATGCCAAATTTCATCGTGATCCGTGCAGCCGTTCTGGAGATATCTTGTGCTAAATATCCATCCATCCAAACATTCCTATTTATAATATGAGTAAGAAGTAAGATAGTAAGATAAGATTATTAAGGTCAGATTTCTGAATGTTTACTTCCTACTTTACTGATTACAAGTCACCTTTTACCAATCTTATAACTATGATTAGTTAAATCAAGCAAAAAAATAATAATACATGTCTTATAAAGCAGATTAAATCCAAGTTGTATTTAGTACAGTCTATACATTAGTGTCAAAGATTACGGGGGTATGCTTGACCTTATATTGCAAGTCCCACCGTCGCCCTAAATTGCCCACTGCTGCCGCCCGGCTCCACTTGAGTGGGCTACTTTACCAAGTATAGTGCTGCTATTATTATGTTACGATTTTACTGTGACATTTTAAGCATAACTTTAACAAAACGGTGTTTAAAAATTCGTACAATAAAACTACGGTTTTTATATATTGACATACTTGCTGTCGCCCGCGACTCTGTTTACGCAGAAGTGAAAAAATAAAACTTTATTAGTAGCCTATGTATTCTGTCAGGCTATGTTCTACATATATGTATTACAGCGAGATCCATGCAGCCTTTACAGGGATAATTTCTAACAAATATCCATCCATCCATTCACCTTATTAACTGGAGTGCTGCAAGTCTATGGCTTGCTACTTTACAGTAGAGTGTAAGAGTGAATAGCTCACCATAAAAACCACTTAAGGCACTTATTCTGTCTCCCTGTTCATCATTCAGTAACGTTGTCGCGGTCATTGACCTCTGAGAGTAACTGGTTGATATTGAACTTTTTATATGTAATTCTCTATGAACTGGATATACCTAATTTTATTCTTAACCCATTCAATGATCACAATATCTATCTAAAAACCTTATTTAAAATATTACCTAGCGAAGTAATTACAATGATCATAAGATCGTTCTTAAGGTTCGATTATTGGGTTGGGTTACAGATTACGAAAAAAAAACTGTGTACTGTTTTAAAGTGAAGTTAATTCTCTAATACGCCAGATATTTTGTGTTAAGTCTTCTTACTTTTTGAGTGCCCTTTACTGAGGGCAACTATCCATAGTGTATTTATTATGTTCAAGGATTGGTTAACGCCATATTCAAATAAGTAACGCGAGTATATAATCTGAGAAAGCAAATATCGAAGTTGGAAGTGTACGAATCACCTCCAGAGGTCAATGCCCCGAGAGAATAGCGAGCGAGAGGGAAGAAAGTATCGGTTGAAGTGCCTTTCATGCCTTTTATACTTTATCAAATCTTTCATCTTTTCAATAAAATTTCAACCAATGTCATTGATTCTTGCTATTCTACCGATTAGGTTCAGTTCTTGCCCCCTTTTGTTTACTCT